ATCCATCCATCCATTCTTGTCCATCATCCATCCATCCATCCATCCATCCATCCATCCATCCATCCATCCATCCATCCATCCATCCATCCATCCATCAGCTTTACCCACTCCTTCCTTTTTGGGTTGTGGGGGTCACAGGTGCCCATATCCAGCAATCACTGTGCGAGAGGCAGGGACACACTGGACATGTCTCCAGTCCATCACAGGGACACAAAAAGACAAACGAGACAAACAACCATTCACTCTCTCACCTAGAGACAATTTAGAGTTACCAATCAGCCTAACATGCATGTTTTTGGTCTGTGGGAGGAAACTGGAGCACCTGGAGAAAACCCACACACGCACATGAGAGAACATGCAAACTCCACTCAGAAAGGTCCCTGGAGGGGATTTGAACCTTTGACCTTCTCGCTGAGAGGCAGCAGCTCTACTAAATAAGCCACCATGTCGTCCACAAATGGAAACATTTAGTTTCATTATTTTGGACCTCCAGCCTCTGTAACGTCTACAAATATGATAAAAAGGCATATAAATGTCTGTTTTTATAGTTTATGCCCTAAATATGCTCTAAACACACATTTTCTTTGGTTTGCACTGTCACTTTCATTTGTATAACTACGGTAATTTAATTTATTGAGACGATGTGTCCAGTCTGGTCCTACAGGCCCCTCTGTAGGGGCCACTATCCTTCATGTTTTACCTGCTCCAACACACCTGTCTGACTGTCACCTCGTTGTGTTCTGCCTGTGATCCATTGATTCAAATCACATCAGAAAATAGAAACTTAAGTTTTCAACGAGTTTTTAATTCTTTATTTGTCCACTGAGTGGGCGGAGCTCATGAGCTTCACTCAAACACCAGCACCAGGGTCCATTCATTTTCTGGCTCCTTTAAGTTCAACTTTACAGTTTGAAGTCGTGTTAGACGTAAACAACTTCATAATCAGCCCGTTTGGTTTAGAGCTGATAGAGATTAAATGGGTCTCCTTTAAAAGAAAATAAGTCCCTGATTTACAAGGACAAGCTTTTCTTTGTGTGACACACACTCCCCACATAAACCCTGCTGTGTGTGTGTGTGTGTGTGTGTGTGACCTGTATACAAGGCTGAGGACGGTGTAGAGCAGTGAGAACAGCAGGAACTCTCGGTACAGCAGCTTGTAGATGCTGCCCCTCCAGCGCAGCAGCAGCCGATGGAAGCTGAGGAAGGTGGCGTTGGCTACTTTACTGGAATAAGTGACAGTCATCCTGAAACGTCCAAATCAAGGAGGCACCAACGGTCCGACTAGTCCCTCATGACCGCAGACCTTCAAGACCGAGGAACCTAAATGATCACAATAATCCAGAGAAAAACATCTTCAGTCTGAGCTGATTTTTACTGACAGACTTTTTCCTGATTTGTTTACACCAAATGACACCCTTCTCCTCCTCCTCCTCCTCTTCACCATTCTCTCTCTCTCTCTCTTCATCTTTGTGCAATGCTCTCTCGCCCCCCATACCTCTCTCTCTCCCTCATGATGCTGTCCAGTTGCCCAGTAATGTGAGGCCACACACACACACACACACACGCACGCACGCACGCACGCACGCACGCACGCACACACACACACACACACACACACACACACACACACACACACACACACACACACACACACAGCTCAAAGTGGTCATGTTTCAGCGGTGTGTGTGTGTGTGTGTGTTGGTGCAGACGTAAGCGTGTAAAAACAGAACCACCGTCAGTGACGACTGAACTTCTGTCAGAAAATAGAAGAAACCAGCTCCACGAAGGTGATCTGCTCCTTTAGGGCGGTTTAAAAGCTGCAGGGAGACAAATAACGAGCTAAATCACAACTCAGACAATATTTAATCATGTAAAATGAGTTTTAAAAGATTTATTTAAATTTTAAATCTACAATTTTAATATATACAATCTCATTTTTTCATTCAACCTTTATTTCTACAGGTTAATCCCATTGAGCCTCGGGGACTCATTTACAAGAGAGACCTGATTTTAACAAAGAGTGACGACAACAACAACAATAGACAATCATAAAGGATGCGTACAAATTGAGAAGAACAAATAAAATAAAAAAGAAACAAAAACCGGTTGTAAAGCGATGTAGAATACTATCAACAGGAATATGTCTGCATTGGTTTAAAATTGAAAATATTTAAAATAAAATTTAAAATATTGGCCCTAATCATTGCCATTGTTCCCCTAATTCTCCTTGGTGGTGCCATTGGATAATAAGTCTTAGTTATGAAATGCTAAATCATATTTACAAAATAGAGATTTATTTTTAAATAAAAATGGCAGAAATGGACTTCCATACTCAAGTGTTATAGATAATTAAATAAACAAGCATTTTAATGAGCATGGTGTGCTGGTGAACTGCAAAAAAAGCATCTTATACAAAAAATTTACAACAAACAATAAATTTAAAAAAATCTATATATAGTATATATACAACAAAAACCTATATATATTTATATTTATATATATATGTAGTTGTATATATATACAACAAAACAAATTTTTCACATTTGTCTAATACAAGCGCTCTAAAATTTAGACGGCGTGAGATCTCTTTAGTTACTTTTGTTGTTTTTTATTTTTTTTTTACGGTTTCCAGGAAATGCAGCAGAGTGATACTTCCTCGTGACGTCATGAGTTACTGCTCTGCGGTCAGATCGGGCTCCTCTCCGACGCTGACTGTGACTCTTCGGCTGATCTCAGGTCTGTTTTGACGCTCCGCCCCTGAAAGAGTTCTCTTCGCGGTAAAATCAAGTTTCAAGCTAGCACCTGCGTAAACACGAGAAGAGGTAAGGACGTCTGGTGCTATAAAATAACATTTTTTATATTTAATTACAGTTTGTTAATCACTTCTTTTCCTTTTTTCGGTTCATAAGAACGTTATAATGATACCGTTTGATCGCCATCTTTGTTTGAAATCAAACGGCGGTGTTTTTGTCGTTGGTTACAAGTTTATTAGAAAAACATTTACAACACTACGTGTATTTAAGGGCTTTAAGAGTATTTACCAACAATAACCAATATAAAATGACCATAAATGACTTTAAAACAGATTTATAGAGCAGTGACGCAGATATTTTAAAGTGTGTTCAGTAAAAATTCAAACGGTGAAGCAGGCAACATAATGACGTCACAGTTTTTATTTCTGGATAGACGATACAAAATATTACAAAAATCAAAACAGTCACGTGCTTTGTGTCATGTTGTTTAAAAGGAATAAATATAAATTAATATCTGAACATTTAGCTGATGTTCAGCCCAACAGACTTATCATTTAAAGCAGCTTTAGTGTTTTTAGCTAATTAATCAGTTAGCTTGATTTAAAAAACAACTTCTCTGAGTTTAACTGTAACAGATTAAAATAAAAACAGTTGAGCAAATTATATTTGAAGATCTATAGAAGTATCTCAAGTAAATGGCAATCGATAAGAAGCTGCAAATGAAGGACGCCAAACAAGCCAAAGCTGCATTGTTTATTAAATAAAAACAACAACACTTATCGTTAATTAAAAGTCAAAACAAGACAAGAAATCAGTTTAAATTAAACTAAAGAAATTGTGTTTTCAGAAAACAACACCGAGCGTTCGGTGACTTTAGAGAAGAAGCTGAAACTGAGTTTCAGTCAGAACAAAAGCTAAATCCAAGGAACAGTACCTAAAATGAGTCAAACAATAGCTAAAATGAGTCATACAATAGCTAAAATGAGTCAAACAGCAGCTAAAATGAGTCATACAATAGCTAAAATGAGTCATACAATAGCTAAAATGTGTCATACAATAGTTAAAATGAGTCAAACAGCAGCTAAAATGAGTCATACAATAGCTAAAATGAGTCAAACAGCAGCTAAAATGAGTCATACAATAGCTAAAATGTGTCATACAGTAGCTAACATGAATCAAACTGTTGCTGAGTAAAAGTAGCTAAAATTAATGATAAAATGTTAAAACATGAAACAGTGACTTTTTGTCTGAATGTTAAAAATCGTGAAGTTTAAATAAATCTGAACTCTAGTTTCAGTTGAAACATCTTTTTAATGCGGTTTCTCTCAAACCTGTTTGACCCGGTTTCTCTTGGTTCTGCTCAGTAGAGTCATGCCGTCCAACGTGGAAATTAAAGCCAAAGTGAGCGACCCGGTTCTGTTGGCCAAACGGGCCTCGGAGCTCAGCCAGTCAGAGGGTTCGATCATCCGGCAGCACGACACGTTTTTCAACTGCAGCCGAGGACGACTGAAGCTGCGGGACTTCACGGTACCATCAGAACCTGCATCAGAACTCCTCTAAACCCGGTCTCTAAACCCGGTCTCAGATGTTTTTAATTATATTCAGATGGATGTAAATAACTGATGACTCAGCGTCTCTCGGCTCGTCAGAGTTTCGTAAACTCTTTTATCACATTTATAAATAATTTATAAAAAACACAAGATGCTGAGAGTTCTGTGCAAATATTGAAGCTGGTGTCGTGTTCTGTTTGTAAGAACGGGTCGGGTCAGCTGATCTTCTACGAGCGTCCGGACACCGAGGGACCCAAACTGTCTCGTTACTCCATCAGTCCAACCAGCGACCCGCAGAGCCTCCGGGTGAGGCCCCGCCCCCTTCAGTGAAGCTGATGATTGTGGTGGTGGTGGTGATGATGATGATGATGATGATGATGATGATGGTAACTGTGTTCAGACTGTGCTGGCGGACGCTCTCGGGGTCAAAGGTGAGGTGAGGAAGGAGCGCCGGCTGTTTCTGATCGGTCAGACCAGAGTCCACCTGGACACCGTGGAGGGACTGGGACACTTCATGGAGCTGGAGGTCAACACACACACACAGAGACACACACACACACACACAGAGACACACACACACAGACACACACACTCAGATTATTGATGACGTTACCGGTGACTGATCAGTTTTTGATCTGGGTCAGTTTCCTGTTAGCTGCATGTTCTGAAGTAAATAACGTTTGTTAAAACAAAAAGAAACAAACTTTAGACAAAAGGTGGGCCGGCCCATCTTTACTGGCTCGGTTCTGGTTCTGGTCGGGAACAGAACTGTGCGGTCATTGAGCCTCAGCAGCTGACGGAAACTGTTGGAACGTTTTCTTCATGTTCACTAAAGAACTAAAAGATGAAGAAGACTTTTCATCCGACCTTTACAGGCTAGCCTCACGGAGCCACGGGGACCCTTGTACAAGAGGGACCTGTTCAATAACTAAACAACAACAAACTAATAAAGAGAAACGCTTTGCCTCTCGGTGGCGGGCGATAGTGTTTTTACCTTTTTGTGTGTTCATTTGTTTTTCTGTTAGCAAAATATCTCAGAAACCACTGGATGTTTGTCTATAACTGACGTTTTTGGAGTCAACCCAATCAACAATGGCCGCCACGTCACCTGCTCAGAAATAACTGAAACTGCTACAAACACTGAGCGAACATTTGGTGTGGTAGTAGCTGAGAGTCGTCCTCAGCGTGTGATCCGAGTGCTGACGGATGCTGTGAGAGTTTAGAGACATGGCGGGCGACGTGCATTCCCTTCAAACATATTTCCATGTGCAGCCTCCTCCGATCGCAGCTTTGAGGTTTTAGCCGTGGACTTGTTTCCTTCACAAACAGCCGTTTGGTTTTTACCTGGAATATCCCAGAAAATGTGACACAAAGAACTGAATAATTTAATTCAACATTTACTAATTTAAATAACTTAACCTTCACATGTCTGTCTGTGGTTCCACCGCCGTTTAGAGTCATTGATTTTTGATTTGAGGTGGTTTTTTGTTCAACTGGATGTTATTCACGTCCATCTGAGACTAATTTTAGACCAGTTTAGACAATGTTTAAACCAGTTTAGATGAGTTTAAACAAAGTTTGACAAAGTTTAATCAAAGTTTAGACCAGTTTAAATTCAGACCAGTTTAGACTAGTTTAAACAATTCAGACCAGTTTAGACCAGTTTAAACAAAGTTCAGACCAGTTTAAACAAAGTTCAGACCAGTTTAATCAAAGCTCATACCAGTTCAGACCAGTTTAAACAAAGTTCAGACCACTTCATACAAAGTTTAGACCAGTTCAGAGACCAGTTTAAACAACACTCAGATCAGTTCAGACCAGTTTAAACAAAGTTCAGACCAGTTTAGATAAAGTTTAGATAATTTTAGACCAGTTTAAACAACGTTCAGACCAGTTTAGATCAGTTTAGACCAGTTTAAACAAAGTTTATACCAGTTTAA